GAGGGGCTTACTGTTGGAATAATTGGGGAGTTTTTTCCGTTTTCTTTATAAAGAGCCACAAGCTAGTACACTCTGCTGCTCAAAATAAACTCATCAATAGCCATAGGCATATACCTACTTCAATCCTTAACCAATGCCTCTGTCAACTGTTGTCGCCAGAAAACCACTGAAACACACTGATCGGAGCAATAAGTTTGCCATCCCAACAAAGGCATTACCCTATTTCCCACCATTCAATGGTCATCATTTCGTTCCTGTGAATTTTCGGCATGGCTCAAAACATTGGCCTATGGTCATATCCACTCGCAGGGGCCTCTACAAAAAACCTGTAATCTCTAAGGGTTGGATACCCTTCGTCCGCGAAAATGAGTTGGAGGTTGGTGATGTAGTGAAAATCTTCAGGGACGAAGATGAAGCTGGCGTTGGGTATCGGATTGAGATCGAGAGAGGAAGCAAGCCACTTCCTGCTCTGTATCGTGACCTTGAAGAGCAGCAGGTGGCAGTGCCAATATTTCCCAGCAGTAATAATGACAACGTGGGAGTTGCTGGCAACGTCTTTTTGGCACCCAGGCCAACTCCAGTTGCTGTGCCAACTACCCACAACAACAATTTCAATGTGGAGGTCGTTGCAAACATCCCTGCCATCAAACAAGAGACGCAACTGACCCCTGGAAATGTTCTGCCAATTGCTCAGAAGGCTGAAGAGCTCAGTCTGAAGCCACATGAGATGAATTTAAGGTTGACACTGGACAAGGGACCACAAACATCAAGGTTTGGTGGTACACTACCCTTTCCGGTTAAAGAGGAACTCAAGATCACTGCGGGCGTGCAGCAGCAAGTTGCCCATCAAACCCAACCTGATAAAACAACCAATTTGGACCCAATTCTTAATGAAACCAGTGCAGATGAATTTGGTCTGAACTTAGACCTGACTCTGGCACAACCTGTGGTGGCTTGTGAAGGAAATGAGGCGCCCACGATGGGGTTGTTTGGAACTCAAGCGGAAAACTTCAACCCAGGGATTGTTTTGAATTTAGATCTTACTCTTGCACCACCCAAAGTAAATTAGGTGCCTTTACTTGCTTTGTTTGTTTGCCTACACTTCCCAGACATTAGCTAGATTTTTGAATATTCCCCCTTTCTTTTTCTTGAATATCCCCAAAGTGTAGTGCTGAGTAAGTTAGTTTATATGTGTTTACTTGGAATGCATTATTGTTTGTTTGGAATGTACTATTGTACGTTTATTTGGAATGTATTCTTGCTTTGGGACCATGCCCATTTAGCAGCAATTAAAAAGTCCCAATTACGCGGAAACTGCTTGACTGGTTGACCCATCTTACTTTCATATAGTCACATGCCTTCGTTTCCCCTAACTTCTGAAAATGGCAAGGGAAAGGCCTCGGACTCTTTTCACCCTAAAAACACAGGTCGATCTCTTCCCCTCGACGCTGAAAACCCATCCTTTGGTCAGACCCGCGGCGGATCGGCAGATACTGCTTTCTATGAAAACCCATCCTTTTGTTCAGATCCGCAGCGGATCGACAGATAGTGCTCTGCTTTCTATGGTGGTGTCCTTGCTCTACGTCGCATCCTGTAAATATATATTTTTGTTATTATTTCTTACTTCCCAAACCCAATTTCCATAGATCCAGTATTTTCATGAGACAGTTTGTTATTATCAACACGCTTTCCCTCAAAACTATGAGTAGTATAGCTCGCTAATTAACTCCATGCCTTTTCTTCTTCTTCTTCTTCTTTAATAAGAAATTTCGACTGTAATTCTGCAGCTCAAAGTTGAACCATTTTTTGACTCTATTTGGGTGAATCGTTCTTCAGGCGGTAAACTGGCGATCTTGCTAGCCGTAAAAAATAGAAAGACATTCATGTTAGCTAATTTTTAAAAAGACATTTTCCTAGGTTATTGGAAAAAGGTTAAAAGATTTTTTTTTTTCGATGAAAAACATAGATTTATTGAAAACAAATTTGCAGGAACATCGAAAAGACTATGAATGATGAATCTATCAGACTGGTCATAACAAGAAGAATTGAAAGGTAGACCGAGTCTATCACACTAATAAAAAAAAGTTTTCAATTAGAAAATATTAATTATAAAAAAAATTTAGATTATAAAATATTAATTATAAAAAAAAGTTTTAGATTGTTTTAAATTATAAAATATTAATTATTTGATAAGAATTTTTTTTA